AAAGAGTGACAGAGAGAGAAGGGAGAGAGGGAGGGATGAAGAGAGAGAGAGTGAGTGAGAGCCAGAGAGGAGAGACAGAAAAGAAAGAGAGAGAGTGACAGAAGGAGGAGGGAGGGAGAGAGGGAGGGAAGGAGAGAGATGAGGAATTAGGGTATTATTGTTATTGGCTGGCAGAAGAGTAGATTGGATTCTAGACTATATCCAGCTGTGACTTCTTGGTCTTAGAGGTTGGTAGGTAGGTAGCTGTGGATGGAGATGTAGCAAGAATTAAATCCGTGCTTTGGGCTTGGCTGTTCATCCGGTTTGAGCAGGAGAGAATACAGATGCTGAAGGCTTGAGGTTAAAGGATTGGAGGAGTAAATTGGCCTTCTTGAGCCTTCTCCCCATCTGAGTAAGTTCCCTGATGCTTCCTCAACCTGGCAAAGAAGGAAGGAAGGAGTGTTTTGAGATGGAGGAAGAGGATGGTTTTTTAGGGAGTGGGTTGAGTTGTGTTCAAACATGGCAACTGTGGTCTTCCTTCTGCTGGATTTATATTTTATTTGTTTGTTGGTTTGTATCCTGCCTTTTTATTGTTTTTACAAATCACTCAAGGTGGCAAACATCCAGCACACCTTCCTCCTGTTTTCCCAACCACAGTCCTGTGAGGTAGTTTGGGCGGAGAGGGAGGAACTGGGCCAAAGTCGCCCATTGGGCTTTCATGGCTAAGGCAGGACTAGAACTCACAGTCTCCTGGCGATTGGCCCAAAGTCATTCAGCTAATTTTCCTGCCTAAAGTGGGACTAGAACTCGCAATCTCCTGCTTTCTAGCATGATGCTTTAACCACTAGACCAAACTAGCTAGTTTTCTTCCCCATCCCTGCCTGATTCACATATATTTTTTTCTCCTTTTTGATGGCGTCACTCAAACACGTTCAGCTTTTCCCTATGTCCCCCCCTAAGCCAATCTACAATGCCTTTATTTGAATATATGGTGTGTGTTTTTGTAATATAACTTTATGTAGATGGAGGGTACCATTAATTATGTGCCCCCAAGTCCATGTCATCTTTCACTGACCACATAAATAGTTCTTTTCTTGGGTGATCTGACCCTAACCAGGTCCTTCAGGTCATCCATCATTGTTGAAACTAAATCCATCCAACTTGCTAATGGTCATCTCCGCCTCCTCTGTCTTTTCACCTTTGCCAGAATTATGGATTTACAGATTAACAGAGTTGGAAGGGACCTTTGTAGTCCAAACCCCCAGCCCAAGCAGGAGACCCTACACCATTTCTGACAGATGGTAATCCAAACTCTTCTTGAAAGCCTCCAGGGATGAAGCTCCCACAACTTCCGAAGGCAACTTCTGTTCCATGGGTTGATTGCTCTCACTGTCAGAAAATTTCTCCTTATTTTCAGGTTGAATCTCTCCTTGATCAGTTTCCATCCATTGTTCCTTGTCTGGTCTTCAAGTGCCTTGGAAAATAGCTTGACCCCTTCCTCCTCTCTGTGGCAACCCCTCAAATAATGGAAGACTGCTATCCTGTCTCCCCTGGTCCTTCCCTTCCCTAGACTAACCAGGCCCAGTTCCTGCAACCATTCATCATATCTTTTAGCCTCCAGTCCCCTCATCATCCTGGTTGCTCTTCTCTGCACTCTTTACAGCCTCAACATCTTTTTATAGTGTGGTGACCAAAACTGATGCAGTACTCTAGGTGTGGCCTTACTAAGGCTTTATAGCAGTGGTATTAATACCTCCCTTGATCTTGATTATATCCTTCTGTTAATTCAATTTAGGATTGCATTGGCTTTTTTGGCTGCTGCTGCACAACTGCTGGCTCATATTTAACTGATTGTCCGCTAAGACTTCTCAAAAGGTTATTGTGTAAAGTGTCCAAAATTGGACAATTTGAACTTGCTCATTTGTGTTTCAAGGGAGAAAGCTGGGTTGATTTGTTTCAATGATCCGTTTGTGGGCTTCCTTCTTGGCTGTCCATGGTATTTTCAAGCAATCTTCCCCAATGCTAAAATTCAATATTCTTCCTTTCCTGGTTTTTTTTTTTTAATACAATTATTGCATCTGTATAAGCTTGTTTAAACGCCAACGGATGTTTGAGAAGATAATGGTTATAACCGGATCATAATTGCTTAATGCTCAACTAAGTAAGGTTGGGCTCAAGTAAAACCATGGATTGCTTTGATGCCTTTAATATTATTACACTGCTGATTATCTAGAACTATTTACTCATACTAAGCCGTGACTTAAGCTTTACACATCGCTGGGGCTGTGTTCACATCACCACAAACTACGTTTCAGATTAACGCAAACCAGCCTCCCATCTGCTTAACCAAACCTCTCTGTGGTCGGTTGGCCACTTATTACATGTTGCTTAGAAATACAGGTAGGCCTCGGCTTATGGCAGTTCATTTAGTGACTGTTCAAACTTACGATGAGGCTGAAAAAAGTGACAACCATTTTTCAAACTTACGACTTTTGTGTACAACTTTTTTTTTAATCCATAGATAAACATTTTGAATACAGTGTATTGTCAGGGCATATCATTTTACAAAAGTAAAAAGAAAAAAAGGGGAAAAAGATAGTAACATATATGCTAATAACAATAGTAGTGGTACAACATAAAATGATTTTAACCAAACTTATACTTACGTTAGCTTATTTATAATTCTGTTGATTATATTGACATACTTATAGTTATAAGGAGCCTCTGTGGCGCAGTGGTTAGAGTGCAGTACTGCAAGCTACTTCTGCTGCAGCCAGCTGCTGACAATTTGGCGGTTCAAATCTCACCAGATTTGGTTGACTCAGCCTTCCATCCTTCCGAGGTGGGTAAAATGAGGACCCAAATTGTTGGGGGCAATTATGCTGACTCTGTAAACCGCTCAGAGCGGGCTGTAAAAGCACTGTAAAGCTGTATATAAGTCTAAGCACTATTGCTATTGCCCTTCCTTCCTTCCCTCCTATCCATCCATCCGTCGTGTGCAGTGGTTAGAATGCAGTATTGCAGGCTAACTCTGCCCACTGTCAGCAGTTCAGTCCTGACCAGCTCCAGGTTGACTCAGCCTTCCATCCTTCCTGGATGGGTAAAATGAGGACCCAGATTGTTGACGGCAAGAGGCCGACTCTGTAAACGGCTTAGAGAGGGCTGGAAAGCACTATAAAGCAATATATAAGTCTACGTGCTGTTGCTATAAACCATGTTTGTGTTTAATTTATACATAGCAATAATCTTTCCTCATCTAATATCTACCTCTCATCTCCAACCACTCATAGAATCTATTCCATGTTAAATAATATTCTGTATGTCCTTTGTCCTTTATTTTCAATGTCAATCTATCCATCTCTGCCCAGTCCAATATTTTCCGAATTATATCTTCATCTGATGGAGTGTTCTTAATGACTTTTGTAGCATCCCTGTGATCATGGGATGAAAATTCAGAGGCTTGGCAACTGGTTCATACTTACGACCGTTGCTCTGTGTCTCAAGATCAAGTGATCCCCTTTTGCGACCTTCTGACAAGCAGATTCACTTAAGAACCGTGATCCTAATTCAACAACTGCAGTGGTTCACTGAGCAATGATGTCAAGAAAGGAGGTCAAAATGGGGCAAAACTCACTTAACGAACGTCTTGCTTGGCGACAGAAATGTTGGGCTCCGTTGTGAGTCGAGGACTTACCTGTATTCATCCATTCATCCATTCGGAGCTGGGGAAATTGGAGGAGCTTGTTCCACGATGCCCTGTTGGGTTGAATTAATGGTTGCCTTCTCTGACATTTGGGTCAACTTCCAAACCTCACGAAGGCACGTGCCGTGGGAAGACTCCATGCAGGGAGCGAAAAAGTGGCCTCGAACCTCTCGTGGAAACCACAGGGACGTCTAAGAATAGTCTGAAGGAGATTGCTGGAAGCAAAACGATTCCTGCATCTCCATCCAGTCTTGTTGCTAAGCAACGGGGAGGCATCTCGCACACTCCTGCAAAGTCACGCTAGCTGTGCACGCTAGAAACATTAAATGGGGGACCAGAAGGGAAGGGGAAGGCCGATATTGTTCCAAAGAGCTGTCTGAATTCCATCGGCTGTGATTGAACTCGATGGGGGAAGGTGCTCAGGAGGTTGGGCGAGACGTTATAGGTGTCTTAAAATGAGGACTAATAGATTGACGAAGAGTTTCTTTTCCAAGGCAGTAATTGTCTTGAATCAAACGGTGCATTTGTGATTTAGTCCTATGTATACAGTGGCATTTTTAAACTATTTAACTTACTGAATGTTTTAGATGGGTTTTAGACTAGGTTTTAATAATTATTATTATTTTAATTATTTTAATTTTTAAATACTCTGTAGTGTGATTGGGATGTGGTTTTGGGGGCACTCTGCTGGGAGTAGATTTCAAATGTCATTGTATTCGTGGAATGCAATGACAATAAAGGCATTCTATCTCATCC